TATATATATATCGTTTCACAATATCTGTAATTTACTTGAAATATACATGAACTCCCGCAACTGAATCTATGTACTGTTACCTTAAGAGTACAAATTGGTGACTATAAAATGCTTTGCTTTAGTTTTCATTCAACATTATCTCCATGATGATAATGATGAGGTGGCGATAACGAAGATGATGGTGATAATAACGATGATGATAATAATGATGATGATGTAATTAATAATAATAATAAAATAATAACGCTACTAAATTGTAAATATTAATATTAATAATACAATAACACTACTAATTTGTAATTTTTTTTTAATATTAAATATAATCAAAAAATATCTATTGTTATTAAATATACTCCTGTACTTTTCTTCTTCTTCTTGCTCCTTCGCATATTATCATAACATGTGGATGGTGACATTAAACGTAGCAAAGTACAAATTCTGACACGGCGATTGATTACGTTATTTCGTGATTTTGCTCTCCTATGGAGCCTCACATCTTTATATCGTATTATTATCGTTCTTTGTTTGCATTCCGTCAATGAAAACTGATATCACTTTGGTGGTTACATCAAATTTCATTTAATTTCGTACTTCGTTGCGCAATACTTTCTTAAAACAAGAGAAGATTTTTAAAAAACTTACAGTCACGTAGTATTGAACTGCCGCAAATGCATTCCTTTCTCTCTCTCTCTCTCTTTCTTTCTTTCATTCGACCTTGCACACGGTCAATTATTTCCCTGCTTCCACATTCTCTCCCTCTCTCGCACTCATTTTATTCTTTCGGAAATTTTTACTAGTTAATTTACTAGCTCATTCGTGAATAACGCGCGGTTGAGCCTTGTGTTGAAGGTATGCAAGACAAAGAATCGCGCGATATCCCTAACTCTCTCTCTCTCTCTCCCCCCCTTTTTCTTTGCTACAATGTCGTATATTACTATATAGTACTATATGTATAGTATTTTTACCTATAGTACTTTGCGATATATTTATATATATATATTTATATGTATATTAATAAAGGCCACGAATGTGTTTAATATAAAATCGCTAATATGTTTATCAAAATTCGCTTGAAATACGAGAATAATCGGTCTTACCGGTAGCAAATAGATCATGCTTGTCGAATTCTTATTATCTGCTGGAAATACAGCTTGCGCTGTACAGTGATTCGTGGATGGTGTACAAGAGAACAATCGCGACCTGCAACTCTCGTCTTTGCAAAAGCGCGATGAACGTGCAGTTTATTTAAAACATGGTACGCATCAAAGTTTGAAAACATAGTCAATTTAATAACGACCGGTTGTTGGTAAATTCCACGTATCCAACAACGTTTACAAAACATAGACAAAGATTATTTACTCGTAAATCTAATTATATATATATGTGTATATGTATATATATATATATATATATATATATATATATATATATATATA